GTCTTCAGGTCTTCTTTGACCTCAACGGGCAGCTGGGTGGCGAAGGTTATCTGTGTGGACGCCCCGCCGAAATCCAGCGCTCCCACCGTCGGTCTGCCGGGGCTGAACCAGTGRCCCACAAAACTGTACTGCAGAACAAAGAAGGGGTGAAAACACGACGACGTCGTGGTGTTTGTCAGGTCGGACGACAGCGAAGAACATAAAACTTTGGGTACCTTGATAAAGTTCTCTAAGAGATAGTTGACGGTGACCCAACCGTACACTCCCTCCTCCTGCCCACTCAAAATGGCAGCTCCACGGTAGTTAAAAGGGTACGACTGGATTTTCAGGCCCACTTCCTTCAGAATCTGATTTGACTGCTTTGAARTGGATCTCCTTAATTAAAGAAAACAACACAAATGTTGTTATGCAAGATTGTAAAGAAATTATAAACTTCAGTTTGCGTCGCCTTTCAAAAATCTTTTACAGGATCAAGATTTGGAGACGCCCTCCTGCCTTCAGCTACATTTAGCTTTTTGATAACATTTAGCTTTATTCAGACATTAGCTAACATTTTGTTACATTCTGCTTCTAGCTAACTTCTTCCTACATTTAGGCTTTAGCTAGCCTGATGCTATACTTAGACTTTAGCTAGAATTTAGCCTTATTTAGACCTTAACCTTAGACATTTATCTAGCTTTTTGTTCATTCTTTAGGCCTTTTTTGCTACATTTGGCTTTTAGCCAGCATTTGTTTAAAAATTCAATTAATTTATACTTTAGCAATTCATTCAGCCTTTAGCAATATTTTTGCTACTTTTGTCCTTTAGCTAGCATGTTGCTACTTTTAGCCTTTAGCTAGCCTGTCGATACATTTAGCCTTTAGCTAGCCTTATGTTATATGTAGTTTTAAGGTTGAATTTAGTCTTATTCAGACATTAGCTAGCATTCACACTACACTCACTACATTCGGCTTCTATCTACCTTCTTTCTAGAATTTAGCTAGTATTTAGCTTTATTCAGACCCTAGCAGCATTTAGATAGCTTTTTCATATAACTTTTGGCTTTTAACTAGTCAACTACTACATTTAGCCTTTGGTTAGAAATTTGCTTCATTAAAATTTTAGCTAACCTTTTGCTACATTTCATGCTATATTTGGCCTTTAGGTTGAATTTATCCTGACATTAGCTAGCATTATTGTTACATTTGGGCTCTAGCTAGCCTATTGCTATATTTAAGGTTTTTGCTAGTCTGATGCTATATTTAGACTTTAGCTAGAATTTTAGCTTTATTCAGACCTTAGCTAGAAGTTTGCATTTATCTAGCTTTTTGCTATTACTTTTGGCCTCTTTTGCTACTTTTGGCTTTTAGCCAGTCCTCTGCTACATTAAGCTTCTGGCTAGAGTTTTGCATTTAAACTTTAGCAAGACTTTTGCTACATTCAGGCTTTAGCTAGTTTTTTGCTATTTTTGTTTTTAGGTGGTCTTTTGCTACATTTAATCTTTAGCTAGCCTTATGCTATTTTTAGCCTTTAGTTTAAATTTAGCTTTATTCAGACTTTATGTAGTTTTTGCTACATTCTAACATTTAGCTAACCATTTGTTACATCTAGCTTTTAGCTACTCTTTTGACACTTCTGTCTTTTAGCTATTCTTTTGCTACATTTAACATTTAGCTAGCATTCTACTATGTTTAGCCTTTTTTGCCTTTAGCTAGAATTGCTTTATTTAGACTTTAGATAGTTTTTTGCAACGTTTGTCTTTTAGCTCTCCTTTTGCTACATCTGTCTGATGTGTTTTGATACTTCTGGRTGAACATCTTAGTTTTAGCTGCTCAGCAGTCATTCAGTGTTTTCTGTTCTTCTTGTTGTTGCAGTTTTAGCTGCGGGTGAGGGAGCTCGTCTGTCATAGACGGCGTCACAGAACAAAATAAACGCAGACGGTCTGAGGACATCAGGTCACTCACTGCAGGAGCCTCATGCCTGCCGTGGCTCCCAGGTACACAGGTGTGCTCTGGTGTCTGTCTGCAGGAATATCTCTGACCGCCTGGTCCAGACACGCCTCCAAACTCCGCCCCGCTGCGCCTGTTTGGCCCGCATAGCTGGAAATCCCTTTACCTGGACGTCAGAGAAGGAAAACTGATAACAAACATATGATTATGTATTTATGTAGTCGACTTGTTGAGTCATGCTTCCAAACAAGCCGAGTCAGCGCCTGTATTTACAGAATGTTTATATCACATCAGTCACGCCCATAAGACCAGAAAGTCCAGTTTTAAAGCCAACAACCAGCCCGATCATCAGTTGTCTTAGCTATTAGCAATTAGCTGTTAGTGTTATCTTCCACTAATTTTTACTTTTTTAGTAATTTTTTTCACGTTTAGCTGATTAGCTTTTATGTTTTACCAATTGTAAGTCCGCTAACAGCTAACTAACAAGCTAACATCAGCAGTTTTATGTCAGTCCCACCAGTCTTCGGCTAGAAGGAGGCGAAGACATGTGACGCAGACAGTCATCTTAGCCGTTAGCGATTAGCTGTTAGTGTTAGCTTCTGTTATTTTATTGTTTTGCTGTTTAGCGATAGCRTCCACATTTTTTTCATATGTTTAAAGGATTAGCTTTTTCATTAATGCTGAAAACAAGCTAACAGCTAACTAATAAGCTAACATCTACAGGTGTTAGCTTCTGCTAATTTTATTGTTTTGCTGTTTAGCGATAGCTTCCACATTTTTTTCATATGTTTAAAGGATTAGCTTTTTCATTAATGCTGAAAACAAGCTAACAGCTAACTAACAAGCTAACATCTACAGGTTGTGTCGGTCCCACCAGTCTTCGGCTTGAACGAGGCGAAAACGACCGAGTGACATTCATCTTAGCGGTTAGCATTTAGTCTTAACTTGAGCTAATATTTACGTTTAGTGTTAGCAAAGTGTTTAGCAGACTATGAGTCCATCAGCACTGTTTCCTCTCATGTTTCTAAACCGGAGCAGAGAAGATTAAAAGCGTCCTGYCAGCCGTTGGAGGTTTTATTTGACATGCAAACGTCTGGTTTTAGTGGCCGAGCCGTTGACACGTACCGTCCACGTGACACTCTCCGTGCTGCGTCACCACACCTGTGCCGTTCTGCTTGTCCGCCGGCCACTTGTAAATAAACAAGGATGTGTGAGAAGATCCGGCGTCCATGATGATCCCATACTGAGACAAAAACAGTGAATCTTTATGAGCAAAATTAATATATTAGTATATTTTTTACCAACAAGAAATTAAAACATATTTTTTTATCTTTATTCTGTTATTTTGTCCTGTTTGTTTAATAAAGTTAATTTAAGATGCCAGGAATCCATTTTAGCCGCTCAGATAAYCCTTAAGCTCGTCTATTTCTCCAAAGGGAAGTTGCTCGAAAAAACATCCACAGCAGGTAAGATATTGTTTGTTCATATCTCTACAAAATGATGGGAAATCTCTTTGATTAAACTTTTTTTTCTGTATTTTCTGTCAACATGTTTCAAATTAAAAGAACTAACAATAACAGAAGAGTAGCTAAGAGCTAAAATAAGTACAATTGTAGCTAAAAGATTGTTAAAATGTAAAAATTAGCAAAACAGTTGCTAAAACTAACAAAACAGTGGCTAAAAATGATAGAACTGTAGCTAAAAGCTAAAGCCAGCACAACAGTAGCTAGAAACTAGAACCAGAAGAACTCAGTAAAACTTAAAGAATAGCAAAACAGATTTTAAAACCAATTGAACAGCAGCTGAAAGATAAAATTAGCAGAATAGTAGCTAAAAGCTAAACAGCATAAAAATAGAAACAAACTAGAGTCAACGAACAGCAGTTAAAATTAAATGAGCAAAGCAGTAGCTAAAAGCTAAAACCAAGTAAACGGCAATCAAACAATTAGCAAAATAGTAGCTAAAAGCTAAAACAGCATAAAAATAAAAACAAATTAAAAGCTAAAATTAGCAGAACAGTAGCTAAAAGCTAAAGCCAAACTGAACAGCAGTTAAAAAAAATAACAAAATAGTAGCTAAAAGCTAAAACAGCATAAAAATAAAAACAAATTAAAAGCTAAAATTAGCAGAACAGTAGCTAAAAGCTAAAGCCAAACTGAACAGCAGTTAAAAAAATAACAAAATAGTAGCTAAAAGCTAAAACAGCATAAAAATAAAAACAAACTACAACCAACATCTGTTAAAAATTAAAATGAGCAAAACAGTAGCTAAAAGCTAAAACTGAGTAAACAGCAATTAAAAACTAAAATTAGCAGAACAGTAGCTAAAAGCTAAAACCAACTGAACACTAGTTAAAAAATTAGCAAAACAGTAGCTAAAACCTAGGACCAGAACAAAAGTAGAAACAAACTAGAACCAAGTGAACAGCAGTTAAAAGCTAAATTAGTAGAATAGTGGCTAAAACCAACGGAACAGTAACTGAAACAAACAAAAGAGTAATTAAAAGCTAAAATCAGGTAAATAATAGCTAAAAGCTAAAACAGCAGATATGAAACATTTAATCATTCATTTTTGTCCTGTTTGTCTCATAAAGTGTGTGTGTGTGTGTGTGTGTATGTGCGTGCA